CCCCACGGCCAGCGGCCCCCGGGCGGCGGTGTGCCCGCTTTCTTTGTTCCTTCGCCCCCCCCCCCCTCCCCCCCGACCGGGCGCCTTGCCAGCCAGGCGTCCGCCGCCGGTGTCGCCATGGGCACCGGCGGGGCAATTTACCGACAAAGCCGGGCCAGCCCCCGGGCCTCGCCGTGACCGGACAAGGGGTCGCGGAGGGAGGGTGTCACCCGTGCGTGCCGTCAGCCGATGTCCTCCCCGCCCCCCGCCGCCCGCTGCCCGCTGCCCGCTGCCCGGGCCGGCTGGTACGCCTGCTCCGGGACCTGCCCGGTGGCGTTGCCTCGCCCTCCCCCCCATACTCAGGACGGAGCGTGGCCGAAGGCTGGCCTTCCTGGCCAGGAGAACAGGGGCCACGCTGGCGGGGAGCCACGCGTGCCCTCGCTCGCTCCTCGCCCCCCAGGAAGGGGGCTGCTCTTTTCTCCACGGGGCGCTGGCCGCCTCCTCAAGCAGCCGGGGGGGGAGGGGGGGGGGGCTGGTGCGTACGGCGCTCGCCCAGCCCCTTGACAGATGGGGCTGGCCTTGGGGCCGCGAGGGAGGCCGGGGGGGGGGGGGGGGGGGGGGGGGGGGGGGGGGGGGGGGGGGGGGGGGGGGGGGGGGGGGGGGTAGCCAGTCCGCGCAAGCGCTGGCCGGAAAGGGGAGACCTCCTCGGCGGACGGTGAAACACCCTCCCGTGGAGCCGGGCATTCCTCGGTTGTTGGAGGGCGCCTCCCCCGAGCCTCCTGCGCCGGCTGACCCCGGCTCAGGTGAAAGGGGTGCCCCGCCGGATTCCCCGCCCGCCCCTCCCCCTACGAGGGCGGTCTCCCGGGTGGTTCACCCCCCCCCCCGCTCCCATCCCCCTTCTCAGTGTACGTGAGCGCATGAGGGGGCCTATGGGAGGCGTATGCATGCGTGGCTGACCGCCGCTCAGCAGCCGGCCGGGGGTCTGGGAAGCAGGAGGCGCCCCGGACTGAGGAGGAGGAGGGGCCCCGCGTACGCAGCTGACGGTGACGCTGCCCAGCGGACAGCAGGTTGCTCTTGACTGCTATCGCTCCATGGCCCCAGTGCGAGGGAGAAAGACAGAGAGAGAGAGAGAGAGCGAGAGAGAGCGAGACACGGTGCCGGGTGAACATGGACGCAATCTCCCCGCCAGCCTCCGGGGGACGAAATCCCCCCTGCTCGGCCTGGGGTGTGACGCCCCCCGGCCCAGCGCATGTTGCGGCTTGGCAGGCCGGTCGGCCGGTCGGGGCCCGAAACGGTGCCCGGCGCCTGGCGTGGAGCCGGCGTCCCGGCCCGGCCGTGCTTCCCTCCAGACTCAGAGCCTGGATACCTCGCTCTTCTGGGAGGGGCGGGGGGGAACACGGGGCGGACCAGTGGACCGGCAGGCGCAGGACTCGCGCCTGGGCGGAGGGGGGGGGGGGGGGGGCGGAGGCGGGCAAGCGCACATCCAGACGCACCGAGTTAAAAGCCGCTGGCCGCCGACCCGGCGCCTGGCGCGCAAGCGCATGCGGTCCTCGGCGACCCCGGGCGCCGGGGCCCGGCCGGCCGAGGAGTGGCCCTCCGCCTCCGAGACGCCGGGTAACGGCGGCCGCCGACCGGCGACAGCGATGTGTTCGGGGCCGGCCAGACTTGCCCCCGTCTCTGGCCGGGCCCCGGGACGACGCGGTGTGGCCGGGGCTCCGTCGCCGGCGCCCCCCGGCGGACAGGTGGCCGCGCTCCGGCAGCCGCGCACCCCCCCGCCCCCGCCCCCTCCCCCCGGGGAGAGGGCTCTTGATTCTCAGGGGGTAGGGGCTCAACCCGTGCTCGGGGGGGGGGGGGGGGGGGAGGACAGCGGGCCCGGCAAGAGACGGGGGGCGGAGGGGGAGGGGGCGGGGACGATGGAGCCAGCGGGCCGCTTGCATGGCCCTCGCCCGTCCCGCGCCCCGCCGAAGGCCCGCCCAATGCACGCCCGGCGCCTCGATTGCCAATTGTTTTTGATCGACCCTGTCCGTCACTGGTCGCGGACATGACACAGACACGGACACACACACACACACACATACACACCGGCGAAGTGTGCGGCGCCGGGAGGGGGACGCCCCGGGAGGGGGGCGGGGGGACTCAGACCGAGGGGGCACCGGAGCCACGGAAGCACCCCCGCCCCCGTCCTCGGCCGCGGCTCCTTCCTGGAGCGTCCCCCGAGCGGGGGGCGGCGGACAGCGTCCAGCGGGGCAAAGGAGCGTTGGCCGCCCTCCGGTGGCACACGGCGCTCGTCTCCGTGCCCTTGTCGCGCCCACCCCGCCCCGCCCCCTCCCCGCCGGCCGGCCGGCCGGCCGGCAGGCCGCGGCATTTGCCTTGCCGTCGTTCCCGGAAGTAAGCAAGGTGCCGGGAAAAAACCGCCTACCCCCGCCCCCAGGGCCGCCACGGAGGGGCGCCCTCGATCTCCCTTGGCCAGTCACAGCCAGATCGCGCACGTAAGCCCCCCCCCCACCCCCCCGCGCTTCTTAGGGCCCGGGGTCGTTCGGCATTCGCCACTGTTATGTTATTGATGCAGTGCTACCCCCTCCCCCCCCCCCCGCCGGGCCAGTAGGGGGCACACATATCGTGCAATACAGGGCCGCGCGTGCCCCCCGGCCCCGGTTTCTCGGGCCGTGTGGCTGTGTTTGTCGGTCGAGCGTCGGCCTCGCCAGCTCGCCCGCCTCCCCCCCCCCTCCCGGCGCGCGGCCCCCTCCCTGATTGGTTGGGGTGCGAATTGCGGGCCCCAGGGCAAGCCGACTATCATCGCCGTTTCCGCCGCCGCCGCCGCCGCCGCCGCCGCCGCCGCCGCCGCCGCCGCCGCCGCCAGGGGACGACGGATGGCCGGCGGGGTGCTGCCTCCCGGCCGGGCAGGGCGCCAGCATGCCAGGGGCGCGGGATCAGCCCCGCACTGCGTGGCCCCGCAGGAACGCACGCGCGCGGCCTCCTCCCCTCGCGGGGCCCGGTTTCCGCCTGGCCCCCCCCCCCCCCCCCCCCCCCCCCCCCCCCCCCCCCCCCCCCCCCCCCCCCCCCCCCCCC